ATATATATATATATATATATATATATACACATATTAATCTGAAAAACTTTATTCAAAATAAGTTTTAACAAATATTGTTAACTTGTAGATGAATTAGCAGAAAACAAAATACAATACCTTACTAATAAACTATTGAAAATATGAAGATCGATGATTTCTGATGCAATTTACACTTTAAAGGCTTTTATAAGAGTAACAAAAATAATTTCTCAAGTAATAGCTCAAAAAATAACATGCATCATCCATTCTTGTGCTATTTGTAAGTTAAATTCATTTTGCTCTTCAGAAGTAACTAATATATTTTTATTAGTGGGCTCTAATAAAGGTAAATTAAACTGCTAATGCTTGCTCACAAGTTTTTTTTTACAGAATACATGAAAATAAGACATGACTAAACAATAAACTACCACGCGTTTGTGAAATCTAACAGATTAATGTCAGTGCCCCAATTTTGAAAACAATTAGGATATTTAAATGAAAAACCAAACAATTTTGTGTAAAATAGATAAACTTATTTCAAGCACAGATTATTTCTAAAGAAAAACTAGTAACTTACATTTCAAATATTAAGATGTTTTTATTTTCAATAACATAAAGAAATTTTAACCATAATACCCATTTTCAAGTACTTAACATTCTTATGGAAATGATCACAAAAAATAAGTCTAAAATGCATTTTATATACATTTCAGTGTAGTATGTAATTTATTTATTTTTGACAAATTTATTTATTATATGTGGTGTTAGTTTCATAATTATTATTATTATCATAATCATAATGTCACGTGCTTGATCACTCTCTTTTGAAATTGCAGAAAATGTTTCTGAATGTCCAATACATTTTCTTATTTTAAGTTATTCTCAGAATGTAATAGTGGTTTTTCTGCTACCTGAGAGAGTATCTAAACACACAACATAAAGTATAAATAAAAAGCATTAACTCTCAGAAACTAAACTTTTCCAATATTTCATTATACAAGAACAGTTTATCATTTCTAATAATAAAAATATTAATTTTCACAACGACCTATTGGCATAATCTTACACTTCATCATTCTAGTATAACTTTGATTTTGAACATAGCTTCTGAACATTTTATTTACTTTTCAAAAATATTATCATTATTGAGAACCACAACTTGTGGAAGGAGCATCAACTCACCTCATATACAGACAGCACAGAATGGGCAATGAAGAATGAAAATACACAAGCTGCAAATACAGGAATAGCAAAAAAATGTAGGTCTTGGTTGTGCTGTAAATCACAGAAAAAAAGTGCTTATCTTTGTGATAAGAAAATGTATATGATATTGACAATACTGTTCAATGTGAAGTTTTTTATAGCAAACTGTCTGATGCTCTACACAAAAAATTTAATTAATAATTTCTCTTAATTTATGTATCAACTGATGTTTACATAGAAGAATTTGGAAGTTACACCCAAGTTAAAATCACTTAACAACCATAAAAAGCTATCTATGAACACAAATACTGTTCATATAATCACATGTCTAGAAATAAATCATACCACATGGATAAAACAGACATATATGTACTTATATAACTGATATTCATAATTGATAAAAGCATTTAAAGAAAAAGGCCATAATTTAATTTTGTCAGAAATACTACCCAGAATTAACTGTTCGGATGAAGTTATAAGTAGGTCACAAGGGCTAAATGCTAGGCTTAGGATATTATGTAAGGATGAGCAGATAGGCTGGTTGGACTTGTGGGATCAGTTCAGTGGAAGAAGGGAGCTTTTTGGAAAGGATGGTTTACATATAAATAAGATAAGGGCTGGCTTGTTTGCTATGCCTGTTAACTCAGCTGTAAGGGAAGTTATAAAATATGACTAGATAATGGAGAAGGCCAGGATAAACTAAATGCAAAAAGAATAAGAGGCAGAGAACAGTTTAGCATAGAATATGAGTATAGAAGTAATTATAAGGATAGGCTTAATTGTTACTATTGCAATGCTAGAATTATAAGAAATATAATAGATAACTTTAGAGCACTTGTAGGAATGGATGATTTTGACATAATGAGAATAACTGAAACATGGTTAAACGTAGATGATTTTAATGACAGAAATTTCTTTGAAATACAGGGTTACAGGCTATTTAACATGAATAGAGTAATTAATAGGGAAGAGAGTAGCTTTATATGTAAAATGTGAGTTACATCCTGTTGAAGTTGAGTGTATCAAATATAACAGCAAGGAGATTGAATCCATTTGGGTTTCTATTAGTGGATACAAAGGGAAAAGGCTTTTAGTGGGAATTTGATACAGACCACTAAATGATACTGATGAGATTAGTGAGAAACTTTACAATGAGATTAAGATTTCAGCTGTTAATGAAGTCATTATGAGTGATTTAAATTTCAGGCATATAGACTGGGAAATGCTAGGGTCAAACTGTGATGGAAAAAGGGTTTTGGAAACTGTTCAAAATGGCTTTCTTCACCAATTAGTCAAGGAACATATTAGAAATAATGCTATTTTGAATTTATTGTTAACTTCAAATATAGAAATGATTGAGTGTGTGGAAAGTGGGGAACATTTGGGTGTAAGTGATCATTGCTCTATTAGATTCAATATTCTGCTGCTTAAGGAGATAAGCAATAATGATATTTTGGTAACAAATTTTGAAGGAATGCGACAAGAATTATCTGTTGTGAATTAGGCATCTGAGTTATTTGGAGACACTGATCAGATGTGGAAAATTTTTAAGTACTGACGGTAAACATATTCCTTATAGAAAGAAAAGGGTAGCTGCAAGTAAAAAACCAGGTTGGCTCACAAAGAGTATGAGAGATAAAATTAAAGAAAAGCATTATACATTTAAAAAAATTAAATTGACTGGAATAACAGGAGATTTAGAATATTATAGAAATTCAAGAAAGTTGGTGAAACAGGAAATTAGGACATCAAAAAGGATGTATGAGAAAAGGTTGGTTGAAAATGTAAAAATTAACAGTAAGGATTTCTTTAAATACATTAAGGGTAAACAAAATGTTAGAATGGGTGTAGGACCCTTGAGGGATGACAAAGGAAGGCTCGCATCTGACGATTATGAGATGGCTGGGTTATTAAATTTTACTTTTTTCTTCACTTTTTATTTACAAAAGTTTAAGCAGTATTCCACATCTTGTACACTTGATATATGGAAACAAGATCGAACAAGATGACTGCATTAGTTCTGAGCGTGTTAAGAAAACATTGAGAAGTATAAAGAATGATCAGGTTCCTGGGCCAGATAATATTTCACCAAGGGTTTTGAAAGAGATTATGGATTGGGTATGTGAGCCACTTGCTACTATTTTTTGAAAGTCCTTGAATAGTGGGCAGGTACCAGAGGATTGGAAGTTAACTAATGTAACTCCTCTTTTCAAGGGAGGAGATAAAAATTGTATCAGTTATTATAGACCCATTAGTTTTACATCAGTTGGTTGAAAAGGTTTGGAAAGTCTGTTAAAAGATGGTTTGCAAAGTAATTTAACAAAGTTTAGAATTTTATTGAGTAGTCAACATGGTTTCACTGAGGCAAAATCTTGCCTTACAAACCTTTTGACATTCTTTGAAAATGTTACTGCTTATGTAGATGAGGGTAAGAGTGTAGATTTGGTGTATCTGGATTTTCAGAAAGCATTTGACAAGGTGCCACATAAAAGGCTTGTAAAAAACATTATCTCTACATGTGCAAGGGATAAGTTTGCCAATTGAATACAAGAGTGGCTGGATGGAAGAAAGTCGAGGGTTGTAACAAATGGAGTTCAGTCAATCAGTCATTGGACCTTTGTTCTTTTTGATTTACATCAATGACATAGATGAAGGAATAGTCAATAAATGACTTAAATTTGCAGATGATATTAAAGTCTCAGAGGATGCTGTTGATTTACAAAAAGATTTACATCATTTAGTGAATTGGGCAAATAAATGGCAGATGGGTTTTAGTTATAATAAATGCAAGATAATGAATTATAGGTATAATTTCAATGAGAATACATTAAACACTGTTATGAAGGAACGGGACATTGGTGTAATAGTCGATCAGTCTCTAGTTCCATCCAAGCAGTGTGCTGTTGCTAGTGGTAGGGCAAATAGAATTTTTGGTTGTATCTACAGAAATATTGAATACAAGTCTAAAGAGGTTATAATTTCATTGTACAGGTCACTGGTTAGGCCGCATTTGGAATATTGTGTTCAGTCTTGGGCTCCTTACCTTATGAAAACACTGAATTGTTGGAAAGGGTTCAGAGAAGGGTTACTAGAATGGTGCCTGGGATGGCGGGATTGTCATACGAGGAGAGGCTGAAACCTCTCAAATTGTTTTCTCTTGAAAAAGAAGAGTTAAGGGGGATCTGATTAAGGTGTTTAAGATTGTAAAGGGAATTGATAGTGTTAATGCATCATATGTTTTCATAATTAACAGTGAGAATAGTAGGACCAGGGGACACAAGAATAAGTTTTAGCAAGTGAGAAGTCATCTTCAGCTAAGACAATTTTATTTTTCTAACAGGGTGGTTGGTCTTTGGAATGGGTTGCCTTTGGATGTTGTGGAGGCAGTAAATTTAAGTGAGTTTAAGAGAAAGCTTGATAAGTATATGAATGATAATGGCTGGCTTTAATATATATATTTTTAAGTTTATTTTAGTTTAGAGGATGGAACAGCTGAGATGGACCAATAGGTCCCATGTTGTCCCAATATGTTATATTTGTCATAAGACATTATGTTAGGCCTATAAAAAAATTTAACACTACATTTCTAACCTAGTCCCTTGTGTATTTTCAAGAATTAGAAGTGCGTATAATAATAGTATTCCAACCACACTATATCCATTGCCAACAACACGTTACTCTCAATCTAGAGTTCTTCAGGCTGGCTGGGATACAATAGTGGTCTGAATACTATTTATATATAAACCACTTGTTACAACAACAATTGTTATGGTGTGAATGCCTTTTAGAAGCTGGCGCAGCATGATATAATTAATTACACTTTTCATAAGACATTATGTTAGGCTTATTAATACTAAAAATAAACAAACTTATAATATAATGTTGTTTTTACTTAATTAGGCACTTAATGTTTTGCTTTACATTGAGTGTCTAATTAAATAAAAACAACATTTTGGTGTTATAAGGTCATTTATTTCTAGCATTAATATGTTTTTTCTGTACACTAATATGCACTACAGAGATTAAATAATTATGTTAGGCTTAACATAATACCTTATGACAAATATAACTAATTATATCATGCTTCGCCAGCTTCTAAAAGGCTTTCACATCATTACAGATATATACATGCTTGCATAAAATGAACACAAACAAGTCAAATATAATAACTCTTTGTATTAGAAATTAGCAACTTATGAAACCTAGCCAGTTTGATGGTTAACTTGCACTACTCACTCAATTTTAAAAATGTATAACCAGTATAAGAAAAAAGATTGAAGAAAATACCATTAACAAAGAAACTCACCAGTACTTCATAAGCAATACAAAACAGCCAAGTTCATTTAAATATTTTTAACACATTACTAGAATAAGAACTTTTCAATAATTATACAACATTTACCATCATGACTAAGATTCCAACACAGGCAGTAAGCACAGTCACAGCACATTTTCCCAAAAACAGTATGAAGTCCCCAACACTATTGATAGTTGCAACTCTCAAAGCATTAGTTACCAAGGTATTAAAAGCCTGAAAAATAAAGCATTATTCCTCTTAATATCTTGCAAAACCTTTCCATAGATGTCATTTATTATACATCTGAAGCAGACTGATATAAAATACAAAGGGTTAATTTTTGAATACAGAAATCAGTAAGTTATGTGATAATCCAAGTCAATATAAAATGGTGGTGGAACGTAATAAGTTTAGAACTACAATCTGACATTGTTTGGTGTTTTGAAGGTAGTGTGATGCCATTGAGAATTGATTAATCTTAGGAAGGGTACATAACAGACCATTCCAAAGCAACATATTCAAACACAAACAGATCATAAAAATATGGAACTAATAATTTTCAGTGGCATTAGAAAACAAAGAAATAAGCATCAACTTTTCACACCAGGACCATCCAGAAGAGAGACCTGAAATAAGTCGCATCCCAGCCAAAGTATATAAAGTGTGGCTTTTTGTAACAGGTGAGAATCCACAATCATAAAAGTCAGTGGCAAAAGCCATCCACATGCCCCAGGCTATAGTACATAACATAATAAAGAAGAAGCTCCACCTGGAAATGAGTCAAACAAAGTAAGGACTCACCAAGATAAGGTTTCTGGTCATACCTCTCATTCAGCTATGCATACCTCAAATAGCTGGAGAAAGAAACGGGTACATATGCAATTCCATGAAAAATATACTGGTCAAAGCTATAAGATGCAGTGTCTCTTGGATTTCTGTGCAATCAGTGTTGAAATGGGTACTGGAAACTGTTGTCCTTATACACTAAATGGATTATGGAAAGCCACCAGGGAGGAATGATGTGATTTGGACATAACAGCCTTTTGCAAGGGAAACTATGCTGGAGGCTATTGTCATGATGCACGGTCATCATACATAGCACGACCAGATGTGGCAACATGGACTGTGAGGACGTTTTGAGGTTTCAAAACCATTTTCATATAACATATTCAACCTACATGTATTATGAAATACTACACTAAAGAAAATAATACATGCTTGGTACTTAAAACTATAATTATTATCCAAGCCCTAACTGTAACAAAACTATTATCTGAGCTCAACACATAGATACTCCTTCAAGACTCGAAGTTTAAAAGTTTCTGAACACTGGTAGGTAAAAAATGAATATCTGTGTATCACAATAAAAAAACAAAATCAATCAGCCTAAATGTTTCAGGAGTAAATTGGGAATATTCTTTGTGCATCAACAAATAATTATACTCCTAAACTTTTTTTTATAAAAAACATTGTTAGCAGATTACAAATATTTGTGGTAATGTTCAAAACTGATTACCAGAATATATAACAAAAATAAGGCTATAATTAGTAGATGTTTGTTATAATTATCCATTTATTTAACTTTTTAAAAAATCTACTTACAGATTGTGCAGAATGGCAAAAACCTGTTCCTCTAATTGCTGAAAGTAAACAGACAAAGCATCAAATTAGAACTTCAGATACATTTCTCCAAGTAAACTCTAAAGATGATAGGGAAAAAAATGTTATACAAAACTACAACCACAGGGCTGTTTCTGCTCTGTGACAATACTTAAAGTCAACAACAATTTACCATGGTCTTTCAAAGGTACAGACGTTTACCAAACACTTTGGAGTCTTTATCATTATACAATCAAATATTACTCTGATTCACAAAATAAGCAAAAGTTCCTTAATAGATAAAGTCAGGTACTTAGAATGTATGACATTGTAAAAGTTAAACTATTAAACCACAGATCTTTTAGAACAAGAAAACACTAAATTAGGTTTCACACAAGCTACAAGTATAAAAGTATGTACAGTGAACCCTCATTAGTAAAGACATTAACAATCTGAATTATTAATAATCTGGATCATTTTTCCTGCAAACAAATCTTCACAAAGAAAAATTTTATGAATAATCCATATATTTACATTCTGAATCCAAAAAGCTATTTCTAATAACAAACATGAATTTTATATGGATACATGGTTCAGTAATTTATACACAATTCTACAAGAGTCATGTAGGGGTTCAGTAATTTATACATAATTCTACAAGAGTCATGTAGGGGTCAATCAGAACAGGAGCAAAGGTAACATTTACTATAACAAAACAGCTGCAATCGCAATAAGTATAGGTTTAGGACAATTTTTGTGAGAATAACAGACGTTGAGAGATCAACAGGGTCATTTATCCTACAGTCATATCATGTCATAGTGCTCCAGAACAAAGGCGTATAAAAATATCAGCATCACAGACCCTATTGCCATGGGTATCCTTTACTGTGCATGACACAAGGTTTTAGTGTCTTACATTCAAAATGTTATTTATGTTATACCAATTAGTATAGCACAAAATCTTAGCTAATAATCTATATTTTAATAATATACAAGTTTCTGATTCTTAATTCTACAAGGCAATATTAAAAAAATCCTGAATTTCCCCTAGGCATCTTTTCTTCTCTATTTTATTGACCACTGCTCCAAAAAGTACAAAATTAAGCGTATATTACTCACTATAAAATCATCATTGCTTAGACAAACCATAATTTTTATAGCCTTCAATTTTGTTTGGTTACAGAGCTATCAAATAGAAAATCAGACCCCTCCTGCCACACACACCTGTCATATCCTTTCTTTCAGGATTTGTTAATAGTTCTCTCTCACATTTAATTATATATTATCTATAACCAATAGAAAGCCACGGTTTTCATATATCAAATGATGTATTATATAACATTATGTTCTGAACAGATAATCATCAAGTTCACTCAGAGTAGAAGCTCTGTTCCCGAGGGAAAGCTCATGACTAACTTGGACGAACTTGTAACGGCTTTTGTCCTACAGTTAGAAAGCCAGAAAAAATTTGAGAGTTAGAGGAAATTGTCAACTTTTTCATGTTATTAGTCTATGTTCTTTGGTGCATTAATTAATAAAATAAAAATTTAGTGCATTACTACCATTAGTATAAAAAAGTAGGGTTAAGTGTCATCAACAATTGAAAGCAAGACAAAAGAAGTTTGAGTAAGTATTTTATTTCTTGTTTTTCATGTTTATTCTTTATTTATTATTATAAAAATAATCAAAATGTATAAATAGGAATCTTTTTAGGTTATTTAGGATTAGGTTAGGTAAAATAAATAATATTAATAATCTAATAAAAATGTTTCACGAGGCACACAAGTGAGCAGCTCGTAGTAGCTTGTGGGTAATGTAATTCGATAGTGTAATGTGAGCTGCACATGGAATATTCAAAACAAATACTCAATATATTCAAGGACAAATCTTTATTTTAGTTTATTAAAAATATGATTTTTTAAAGACAGGGAGAATGCTTTTGCAGTCTTCAAACCAATACTTAGCCATTTAACATTATTTTGCTACACTGATATTACAGTAAGTGACGTATTTGTTGGCTTTTCCCTTAATTGATATGAGGGTTCACTTACCTCAATAGCACCTAGGCAGACTGTAAGAGCAATAATTTCCTTAGATTACCATATATTTATATGTAGATGTCTATTTTTTAAACTTTGTAAAGTTAAGTCACATTTGAACAAGGCTAACATAATTCACTGCAAGCCAAAGAAGTAAGGGGTAGTAAAAATCGTCTTTATTTAATGTTCTTTATTCTGGTTTTGTGTGCTGCCATTAGAACAAAATGAACGATGCATTTTAATATAAAGATTCTGACTTATATGTTTGTGTTTAGAAATCTACATTATTTGTCAGCTGTGACATCATAAAGCTTACAGCTTACATCATTTCCCCACATGATGAATACACAAGCAACAAGTTGGAGTGTTATGTTACGAACTACAAAACTTATTATGTAATTATCATTGTACTCAAGTACAGGAAAAAAAAATAGAATTGGTTAAAGTGTATATGTTTACATATCAAAGTTCTCTAACTGATGTATAGCATGCATTAATGGGGGGATTGACCTTTTTAGTTTGTAAAACATAAACTAACAAGTTATTAATGATATTGATAACGTTACACATTATAAGAAGCAGTTAATTATTATTGAGTTTTTTTTATTTTATATACTGGAATAACTCATGAAATTAATTCAATTCCCATTAAGATTCTCACAGACATACAAACTTTTGTATCATCAAATATTCAAAAAACATAATTTATTTTGTAAAAACAATGGACACATACTAATTAAGTTTGCAAATTAAAAACACCAATTTAAAATAAAGCCAGACATTTTTAGTTGTAAATGTTGTCACTGTAAGAAATACTAATTAACTGATTTGTTTTGTCAAGAAAATTTATTTGAAAAGTATTAAGAAACTTACCTACAACAGTGTATGCATTATGATTTAAATATCTAATGAATTTCTCCAGACACCAAAGGCAACAACTACAGCATTTATAGCAGCAGGAAGCAATCACATTGTTTTCATATTTCTTCAGACTGAAAGGATTACAGAACCATTACAAACAAAAAACTATGTTGGTTTAACAGAAATGTATATTTTGAGTCCTTTTCATTATAAAATCAAATGTCTTCAAGCAAGTATTCCTTTCATTCACAAGACAAACAGATAAAATAACTGTTTTTGTAAAATTGTTTGATTACATTGAAAACTTTAAGAAATTTAAAGAAAACAAAACAAATTTGTCATGCATTTATCCTGAACTAACTCACTGAATATTGTAAAGTAACAAACAAATTCTAATATAATAACATACCTTCTTTTCATGAAAGACAAAACAATGCGGGGCACTTTAAAAATTGTTATTAGAAAAGATCCCAGTGCAACAGACCCCAAGTGGTAAGATATTAGATGCAACACAGACTTCCCAATAGGACAGTGTAGTTCATTCCTGTAAATCACACTATGTTAATTCCAACTCCAACATGTAATTATATTACATAAGTAACATTTTAATTTCTTCTACAGAGTTATCATTAATAATGGAAAAAATCATCAACTATGTCACATCAACATCAATAGGACACAAGATGATGATCAAACAGGAATGATCTAAATGACAATCATTGTTCTACCTCTCTATGAAAGGTCAATATATAATTATTAGATATGACCCTTTTTTTTACAATGATAAAATACATTGTTCAATCTCTCTTTGAAAGATCAATAAGTAATAATTATTCTTTAGAATGATAAAATAGTACATTGTTAATTTTCTGTTGTAAAGTTCAATGTAAAATATAAAACAGTACATTGTTCATTCACTGTCTGAAAGATCAATATGCCATCACCAGATAACACGTATTACAACAATTACACAGAAGAAATCAACTGAATGAAAAAAATCTTTTACTCTCTGTTTGAAATATCAAGACATGTTAAGCACCACATAACTTACAATAATAAAATGTCTTCATTGTCTCTTTCTATTCTCTATATTAACAGTAAGAGTTCATTAAAAACTTTTATTACAATGTCTGAGCAGGAGTCCAAAGTTTCAGATCACTGATAACACTATCAATTTCTCTCTTTATTATCCTCTAACTTGGTGGCATTTAAGTTAAGGTACTCCAAGAAATCTAAAGTAAGGTGAGAGCAACACAGTTAGTCTACTGCACAAAAATCAGAGTATTTTCAGAGACAAGTTTAGTATATTTTTTGTTCATATAGGTGGTAATACTATGATCACTATAATACTACAAAAAATAAAAAAATGTTTGAAAAAGTAAATATGATGTAGGGATGACAATGCAAAAAGTACTGAAACAAGGTAGAGATGAATACACAAAACCATACAAAAATCCCTACATAAGTAGCCAAATCTTTCCAAAAAACTTTTATCTACAACCCAATGTTTAATGCCTTTCATTTGCATGAATTCAGGTTTAAATAAAAGCATTTAAACTGAATAATGCTATAAAGTCTTACAATGGCTAATTCCCATAAGCTTGTAACATTGACTCAGTGGCTAGTTATGTAGGGATTTGTAGTATTCATCCCAACTTTGTTTCTGTACATTTTGCCATTGCCATCCATACATTATCCATATTTTTTCAATATATTTCTATTATTTCTTCATTCTCTTTTTTCAAACAATACCAATGAATATTTTATAATGAATGGCAGCAGTTTTAGCCCGGTGTGAGGAGTTGTCTTGATGGACATCATGTGTCGACGCTAGTGAAACGCTATACTGCTTCTGCACTTCACCAAGTTAAAATGCAACATTTTGGTGTGTAAATCATCACAACTTCAAACACTGATGAGCTAGCCCTTCTGATAACAGAATCAGAATAATCAGCAGAACATTTGGCTGTTATGCTACTCATTGATTCTCTACTTTAGTGATATTTTTGGCTAAACTGAAGATCTTATTAGCTTCTGAAAAAAAAACCTAAGTTAGTTGTTTATAAAATTCTCTTAGATTGTTATGAGCGAGATTTGAAACTATGATGAGCAATACATAATATGTGGTGGCCATATTTTTCCTGGCACATCCCTATATAATAAGCACTACTGTACTTAGTACTAGTCAACTTTAAAGTGAAATTTCTTTATAATAAGGCTGTAAATAAATCTGCCTAGTGCATTACTCTAAGCTAATTGAAGTTTTAATTTCAACTAGCTGGTTTATTTGTATTCTTCAAGGTATAAGAACATTATATATATATATATATATATATATCAGAGATGAA